AAGAATACTCCTACTGCCTTCATATGTTTCCAGGGATTTACTCGATCCCTGCTGTCTATACCTGACATATGCTTCCTCCTTTTTCTTGACTTGGGCCCTCAAAATAATTATTTTCAACACAAGAATGAACTTGAGCATTGTTTTAGTTTATAATTCTGGGATTTTATCAGTTGCTGCTTGACCTCCATAGAGAGTGCAGGGCTCCAGGCTGAGTTGACAGTCTGCCTTCGACCTTACATCTGTCTCCAGGTTGCTGGCTGGATAAAAGCCTATCCTTATGCAAGAAGGAATTCAATTGGGCCTGGCTTGTGGAGGAAAATATAATTGGACACTGAGCTCCATAAAGTTTTGATAAAATAGCAAATGCAGTTTTACTGCATTTTTGATGTTTTGCTAATAAGCCCTATCCTTGATTTGAAGGTTTTTGCTTTATTTGAAATAGGAATTCAGAAACCAGGGTTTAGGAACACCTTGGCCTATCTCATTGAAGGACTATGGGGGCGGGGGAGGGGAGTGTGGTGGAAGAAGGGAGGCGATTAAATGGAACAATATCTCACCATCTCTGGTTTAAGAGGGGAAAAGCAATTCTAATTTTAAATTCCCTTCCACTGACCTTCTGGCCTTGACAACGGTGTGTGACCTGCCATAACTCCAACAAAAGATCTGTTGTTATAAACAGCAAGACGACTGACATATTTGCTTTTGACACGTTCTTCTTAACGTCAGCCCTCTGCTCTCCATCTAGATTAAATTTAAATATTTGTTCTAAGTTTGATTAGAGGTAGTTGTTAAGATTCTTTTCTTGTATTATGTAATCTCCTGTAGCTTTTTAAGTGTTATTGAGTTAGGAACGCTTTGAGAGTTTCAGCCCTATAACAGGTTTGAGTTTTGTAATTTAATCCTTTTTTTTGGGCAAACTTCATTGCCTCTGTAATTGTTCTCTCAGTAAAATGTTTATTCAAGTAGTTTCAGAGATTATTCAAGTAACCTCCATCCTCCTCCCCACTGCATAGGTAGATTTGAATGTAAAACAATCTTGCGCTACTATTCAAAGAACAGGAAGGGCCTACTAAAGTGTGCATTCATCTTTCAGGCACTAGTACTGAAATTCCACCCTCGGGCAACTGTGCAAACTCCACACAGACATTCTCCCCGTGTCTGCACGGATTTCCTCCAGCTGCTCTGGTTTCCTCCCACAGTCTGAAGATGAGCAGGTTGGGTGGATTGGCCATGCTAAATTGCCCCATATTGTCCCAGGATGTGTGGTGAAAGAGATAGGGTAGGTGGGTGGGCTGTTCTTCAGAGGGCCAGTGTGGACCTGATGGACCAAATGGCCATGTTTTAATGTATATTTGATTAACAATGATGGGGAAAGACTTAATGTTGTTGGCTGGCCAAATGTTCCATTATTTCCAAATTAACTGCTTGTAATTTTTTTTGTTCTTGAAAATACAAGAAATGGGATATTGTGCAGGTGAAAGATCTTTTCAGTTGTTTGAACCAGCTTTGGTCTGTTACTTCTCTTGGATGAAGTGACGTGGCTTTTATCTACAAGATCATCCATTTTGTTATTTCCTAACTGAGCATTTGATGATTTAGATCAGTGACTTGCAATGATGCAACAGTTTTGGAACCTCCAGGCCTGGTCTCTGAAAATGCTTGAACTCTAAGGGGCAGGGAGAATGTTATCAAAATTTTGTTTTCATTTACAGAATTCCTTTGAGAAAATTTCGCTCCATTCGACAAACCTTCTCTGATTCTGCAAACAGCATCGAGGAACTTGTTGCAGGAGACCAATCCAGCAAATACAATTTGGGCTCCCCACAAAGCAAGGGGCCCACTCCAGAAACGCTGAAAAACTACCTGGATGTGAGTATAGCTTCTAATGTTAATACAAAAGGGAATGTCATTTCGGATGTGAAATTGGGTAAATGACAGAACAGTAGCAGTTACTGGACACAGCTCTTGCAACAGGGCTCAACTGAAGTTTTACCTGCCAACTTGCATGACTTGGAATTTTTGTAGTTTAGTTTTTGCAATTTATTATTAACACTCTAATTGAATCCTGAAAGGTTGTGATCACAACCAATTTTTGGTCTTTCTACAGCCTTCACTGCAGAATTTTGTACTGCAGTAACTTGAAGCACGGTTGTTGGCTTAAAAAAAACTCCAGCTGACCATTTTTGTTGTCCTAAACTTATTTACCTTTATCCTCCTCTTCTAAATGAAAGAGGATGATGGACAATAAGTATTGCACAAGTTAAATTATCCACTTAAAGAACAAAATGCAGCATGTTTTAATGTTTATTTTGTTTAAAATGAGTTATTTTTCATATATTCTCTCGCATGCAAATAAAATCACTTCTTCAGCCTGGTCAAAACAATTGTGTGGTGGTCATGTAATGTGTTGCTGAACTGAGCAGAACAAATAAATTTCCTTAAGGATGCCAGTGCTAGGCTTTCTATGTTGACTTAAAATGATGAGTTATTTGATGACCGTTGTTGAAAACTAAACCTAGTCCTGTCTACATCTCTGCACAAATGTGTTGTTCATGGTCAAATGATTTTGCTAGATTGAGAAGGATTCTAGGCTTTGTCACGGCTGAGATCGGATCCAAGTGCATCTAGTTGGTGTAACAAATTTTGTATTATTTTAAACCTGAGAATTGTGGTAGAATATCAGTTTACCTTGTGATGTAGAGAAACATATCATTGTGCCTCCAATAGGCTCTTCCATTACAACATTGCCAAGCTTTGCTGTCAGTATTTCATGTGGACTCATTTAATAGTAGGACTGTGTACCCAGTGCCTCCAACTCGAGACTAGCATCCAAATTTGAATATTGGCTCTGCAGTGTGTGGTATGGGCAGAGCTGAAGAGATTTGTCTTGAATATCATGCTTAGTTTTTGGTATTGTTCAAAGGGCCAGCAAAATGGGCTACCATGTTTTGGCAGCATCCCAATTGCTGTTTCTCATCAGTGGATTAAGATAGGCAGCTTATTTGCCTTGGAAAGTGTGCAACTATAAGCTATTTTTCAGGGATTAGCATTTTGCCAATGGCAGAATGATCTTGCATTGCATTTTGAGTCCACTAGCTTCATGGATGTCTGATCTGTCTCATTGTGCACTTATCTCTGCCAATGGCATTACTGAAGTTTCAAAGCTGTTGCCCTATCAAGCAGCATCATTCACTTTCAAATTAGAAAGGAGGTCAGGTTAAAGTGGGGAGGTGGGGTGGTGCATGGGTGGGAATTGGTGTTATGAGAAAAATGTGAAGATAAGTGCATTAAAGAAAAGTGGAAGGAATGGAAACTGAGAAGGAGAGCAATGGTAACAAATTTTAAAGACGGTAAAAGAAACGTGAGATTGAGAAGGGTCATGCTGAGCAAAAGAGGGGCAGACAAAGGAGAAACTTTTTTTTTCCCCAGACAAATGAGAATTTATCATAAATGCTGCAAAAATGAGTTTAAGACTCCATCAAATATGAAGAAGAATTATGTTAGTAAGCTGTGTCTTAAATGTAAAAGTAAACAAATTTATTGCCTGAATTTCCAAGTACTTGCCCACCCCTACCTGAGGCTCCAAGATTACAGTGTTCTGAGAGAATTGGCAAGCCTGACTGAAAATAAAATTGTAGTAACATTACCTGTTGAAACCCATTTTGTCTGGGACCATTTTTCAGGTCTTGCAGTCTAGTATCATTGGAGTTATAATAGCAGCATTGTTACAATATCCCACGTAACTTGTAAAAGTCTGTCTGTCTCTCATTTTTTTGCAACGCAAGATTACTTTTTTAATCAGCTTGTTCAAGTGTTATCACACACCTCTGGAGCTCAGAGGATTGAACTTGGGCCTCCCTGGTTTTGAGGTAGGGACATTACCACTGTACCGCAAGAGCCCTTCAGAAGATTGTACGCAGCATAACAAAGATGCAACATGTCTCATGAGATTCATACAATCAGATTATAAATTGCAGGAAGACAGAGGACACCAGTCTAGAATGCATATGTGCAGAGCGGGGGACTTTGACATAGACCAGGAGAGGAGTATTTGGTGACCTGCAATATGCAGACCTAAGAGTTTTTATAGTACAGTGTTGTAAAACCTTACTTGGTGAAAAGACATAAGTGGCCTCGAGCAGTATCTGTGCAGATACACACAGCTTGCAATACTACAGACTCCGGTCCAGACCCGAAACGTTAGCTTTCCTGCTCCTCTGATGCTGCCTGGCCTGCTGTGTTCATCCAACTCTACACCTTGTTATCTCAATGTGCTTAGCAAATGCCCAACTAAGATTATGTTTTTTTTTCCCTGAGAGGACTATTAGGCTGAGAAACATGACGACCTCAGATAAACTTCAGGATTATTTTGCATGAGAAGCATATTTAACATCTCATCCAAAAGCTTTAACAATGTAACATACAACAGAAATTCTCTGAAACAAGTGTCACAGGTTGAGTGCATATCTCAAGTTGGAATATAATCTGTTGACTCCAGAATGAATGTGCTGTTAGCTTGACTAGTTAGTGTAAGCGCAAATCGCTGTGCGTGCTCATCTATGATAACTGTAATTTCAGTTCTCCAATTCATCGCCTAAACATAGGGCCAGGCGTGCAGTGTTTAAAAGACTCTCCATGCCTAATATCAGGAATGGCTCACCAAATCAGGAGCTAGCCTCCTTGTTTACGAGTTTACGAGCTGACTAGCTAACTTCTCAACCTGTCAAATACCTCTAGTGGAGCCCTGCCTTCCTGGAAGATGTTGGTCAATTTGAGGTAGGTAGCTTCTTGATCCTAAAGTTCATCACTTGGCCTGGACTTCAGGGGATCCAGTGGTGAGAAGATGAGTAGTTTTCTTTTGTCTCTTGCAGAAAGATTGATTTACAAAGCTTTTCCCCCATCCATGTCTCAGGCCTGAGTTTGGGGCCACCCTGGTGTTTTTCATCGAGCCTGCCAGGAAATCCAGTAGTTGGGGGCTGCTCAGACTTGAGGCCCTTAAGAGCATTAGTTGTTGAAAGTCAAGAATTCCACATGCATTTCTCACTCTGAGATGACAATGTTAGATTTAGTGTTGGCATTTCTCCAGGACTAACCCCTCCATTCTTTCTCCTTTTTTGCCACCTCCAAAGTCAGACAAATTCTGACCTGCAAGTGTTGGCAAAGGTGTTGTCTAGTTGAGGGAAATGTATTTCTAGTGCATGCTACAAAATGCTAAGTTGAAGTCAAATTAAAATCAGCATTCCAACTTTTGAAACTGAATGCAAGTATTATTAAAAGTTCACTGTACTTTTCTTCAACAACTCTCTGTAGATTGTGCTAGTCTCTCTTAGTATTCAAAGTAAACATCCTGCTGCACTGTCCTCTGCAAGCTGTGAAATTGTTGCAGTTATGTTTGAGAAAAAAACACTACTTTCTTAAAAAAAAATTGATCAATGTAGGTACAGTGGAGCAAATTATAGTTCTAATTTCTGTCTGCATTTTGGACAGCCTAGTCTATTTCTGATGCAAGTGATGAGTAGGCTAATTGTCAGATGCTAACCTCATGACTGCTAGGTGTTACAATCACTTTTTAAGATCTTTAAAAATAAAGAATCTTAATGGTGCAATCTTTCAAGGCATTTAGCAAGACAGAAACCAATTTTTTTAAACTTTTTTTAAAAATTTTGATATTGAGCTACACAGAATCTCAAATGAGCAAAAGCTTGATCAGGGGCAAGGATTAACAAACTTGTTTTAAGAGGAGACAGCAAGAGAACGCAGTGGATAGATTTAGGGAGAGAATTCCAGAGCTGGGAGCCTAGACAGCTAAAAGCTAATGATAGTGAATTGAAAAATTGAAAGTGCAAGAAACTAAATGGCTACAGAGACCTTTGTGATCGTTGAGGCTCCAGATGTGCTGTGGGTGAGCACAAGGATGGATTTGAATAGTAAGGATTTCTAAAATTTGAGACTATAGATTGACGGCTGCAGAACTAGCAATATAGCTAACCAGCTGTTTCCTGAACAGCTACAACATCTACCGTTCAGAATTTAACTGAAAATTATTCAATATCTCCTGTGCTCAAAAAAAAACAATAAATCAAACCTGTGTTCTTACAATCCTACCGGTCTGCTCTGAGCCTTCAGAAAAGTGATGAAAGGGTCATCGACAATGCTATCAGATGGCACTTGCTTGGTAATAATCTATTTGGGCAGTCCGTTCGGGTTCTACAAGGGCCACACGGTATAAAGAAACCCTAGTAAATCAATGAAAGTTGGGCTTGGAAGAGGAAACTCTTGGCTTGTTCAGTGTCAGAACTAACACAAAGGAAGATGGCTATGGAGGTTGGAGGCCAGTCATCTCTGGATCGCTGTTGGGTCAACTTTTGTTATTTATATAAATGATTTGAATGAGAATAAAGGAGGCATGGTTAATATTTGTGACATGCAAATTGATGGTATAGTGGACAGTGAAGAAGGTTATCTAAGATTACAAAATCGATTGACCCAAATCGGCTGAGGAGTAGCAGAAGGAGTTTAATCTGGATATCGTTTTGGTAAAACAAACAAGGACAGGGCCTGGGTAGTGTTGTAGAGACCTAGGGATTCTGGTACATTTATTATTTGAAATTCATGTCGCCAGTAGACAGGGTGGCTAAAATGACTGAGTATAGGAGTTGGGATGTTGTGTTGAGGTTGTACAGGATGTTGGTGAGGCCTCTTCTGGAGTACTGTGTACAGTTCTGGTCCCCATGCTATAGGAAGGATATTATTAGAGAGAGTTCAGAAAAGACTTGCCAGGATGTTGCTGGGAATGGAGGGTTGGAGTTGTAAGGAGAGGCTGGATAAGCAGGGACTCTTTATTTTATTTTTTTTTTTTTGTTTTGTTT